CCCCAAAACCCCAAAACCCCAAAACCCCTCAGATAGATTTGCAAAAGATATCTGTGTTAAATATAAATAAAATATGATTTAGGATTATATGGATTATTCATTTGAGTTGATTTAACTATATCATAATTTATGAAATAGCATCACCACTCTTTATATTTATTTTGCTCTTTCATAATTTTAGAGAAGCCTCACTCTAGTCTATATAAATACCTCTTCTAAAACCGTCGATTTCGTCTAAATTCTTAAATGGCATGACTTTTTTACTCTCGTTCTACAGCATTTTTATGTATTTTTGGCTAATTTCTATTTCAGAACCCCCATAAGGAGAAATTTGCTACTGTGAACTACTTACTGATCTTTAATCCAAATTTGGACCTGAAGATATGTATGGGGATCTCAAATTTATCATGAATTTATGCTTTCTTTCATCATTAGTCTCCTTCCCAGTATTGTTCATCAACATCTGATCTTGTGATTAATTGAATTTTCTATTTTGGGAGGCAGGTTTTGTCACAAGGTTAATTTAATTCATCTATTTCAATTCTTATGAAATATCGCTGAACATTCGAATTTTCCTATCAATACTTGTATTTGCTGCCTTGGGTTGAATTCTCAAGAACTAGTTATTCATGCTTTACGAGATTCTTTTTCCTGTCCCATTTCCTATTATATTTCCAGTACCTACAGATTAAGCCTAGCCTCTGATCTTGCCCTTTTATTGTATATTTTGATAGTTTAGATTCATTCCATTATTGCTATTATTCAAAAGCTTGTTTGTCTAGCTTATGATTAAAGAGTTTAGGAACTCTTTTAGATGAGCATTTTTACTTTGCTTTGCACTCTCATTCTAAAGATTAATATGAGGAGCTCATACTTCATGACTTCGCTGGTTAACTTAAGGCAAGTTATCAGTTCTTGAAACGCTATCATTATTTTAATGCTACCTGAGCATTCAGAATCCTTCAATTCCGATGGAATCATCATTTGAATGCATCATACTCTGAACAGTTTAGCGACCTTAAAGCTAAGAGTCTAAACTATATTAATGGCTTGTTATAGAACTACTATAGTTCTTGACCTTCTATTGCCTTCCAGTTTTACTCTAAACATGAGCACTCTGATATTCCCAAAACTTTTTCTTTGTCTTTTAAAACACCTGCTTAAAGTCTAAATGATCTGATACTCCTCCATAATTTGAGGCTTCTTAGTTTTTTAATACAAATGACGATTCAATGTGACCTTCAAAAGTAGTGCTTGCATGCTGAGATTAAGTGTTTAAGATCGATAAGTTGCTGTTAAGTTTTTCCTGAAGCTTTTTATTGTTCCATATAGGTTGATCATCATTCTAATTGAATGTATCCTCGTTCATAGAAGTTAATGGTCTGACTAATTCTGCTATATTATTAGACTTGCTTTTGGGTTTCAAAATTTCATGTGTTATCTTGGCTCAACTTATCTTGTTCTATGACGGTGTGTACTCCTTTAAATGTACACCACCAATAAAGAGATTCTTTTCTGGCTACTTGAGTTTGCTGGCTGCTCTCTTTGAAAAGAAGATCTTCAACTTCTTATTGGCAGTCTAACTAAAATCGATGTTTGTTTTGTAGTCTGTATCTGGGGTTAGGACCATGCTATTCTTAATTGATGTATCACCATGAGTTGGTGACTAAAGTATATAAATCCTGTGTTTATTCTACAATTACTCCATTTCAAAATCAATAATATAAAAGTTTTTTCTTTCCTATGTAATTGGTCGAACTTATTTTCAAGACTTTTTTACACTAACGGGGTTTTGGGGTTTTGGGGTTTTGGGGTTTTGGGG